GGGCGCGCGCGTTGGTGTGTGTGTGTGTGTGTGTGTGCGTGTGTGTGTATGTGTGTGTGTGTGTGTGTGTGTGTGTGTGTGTGTGTGATGTTCCTCACCGACCAAACCGTGTCAAAATTGGTAGAGAATTCGACGAGTTATGATTGACTGAAGCCAAACACAGTTACTTCAATACAAATAAATGAAAGCGATTGCAGGGGACTCCCGGTTGAAGATGGCGATTAGGACTGCACGTACTCAACCAGCCAAGGTTTTTGCTCGTCAGCATATGTGTTGATGGGAAGAGCATCTCGCTTCTTCTGCAGTTTTCAATGGGACTCAGCACTGTCACCTGCTGGCAGTGGCAAGGCACCGGGCACTTTCAGCTGCTTTTCTGACCCATCTAGGAAGACTAAATGTCGCACTCATTCATTAAATATATCAGGCAAACAGTTTGTTAAACGTCTGCATGTGCAGTACATATGTGATAAAACATGTATATTTTTGATAAAAAGACAAATATACAGTGCCATTATTGTGCAAAACAATTTACAAATGTGTATTTCACTCCAGAAACATGTAAAAAAAAAAAAAAAAAAACTATACACTCGTGTTTTTGTAAATGACCGCATGGACGACTGTTTCCACAAGGCTTCTGAAGTCAAGAAAATCTCTCACTCCTTAGAAGTGCACCACTTGGCTTCTTACAGCAAGGGGAGCCAGAGAACCACCACATATTTAACTTTACATACAAAGTATTTCTAAATAGATAAAAGAAATATCTAAATAGTTCAAAGAAACACACACACACACACACACACACATATGCATATATATTTTTCTGTTGCCTGTAATGACTGTTCAGTGGTGTTTTTTTTCCATCCATCCATCCATTTTCCGATCCGCTTATCCTCACAAGGGTCGCGGGTGGTGCTGAAGCCCATCCCAGTCGTCTTCGAGCAAGGTGTTTTTTATTTTTATTTTTATTGATTTTCTGTCTGTTTTGAAGCAACTGTGTCAGTCTCAGGAAGAGTGCGGGGTTTTATGAATGCAATTAGAATGTTGTTATTTCTGTTTAAGTTTTTTGTGAAAAAGGTTCTTTACACAATGAATGAAAACAGAGAAACAAAAAGAATAAGCTTAGAAGTAAAAAGTGAGTGAGTGAGTATTCAACATGTGTCCAAAATGAATTCTACAAGAGGGAGGGATTCGGGGACCCTTTGGACAGTGACAGAGATAATGGTGTCATTGCACTAATGAGAAGTTTCACCTTGGCTTTAGCCCAAGTTGATGATGAGGTATCTGCCAGTATACACAACACAGAAGAACACGAGCTCATGTCCACAATCATGAACTAATCATTTGGCTCCTAATTGGCCTCCTCTGTTCTCTTATCCCACTTGGCTGACTGAACTATGGGTCAAAAATGGGGAAAGGTTAGAGTTGAACTGGTATTAAACTCACATGACTGTAATTGTTGAGGCAGCACATGTACTCGTGGTGTGCACGTCTACTTCAGTCTTCGCAGTCAAGAGCTTCTGGGTTTAAATCTCGGATTGGGCCCTCATGAGTAGAGTTTGCATGTTCTCCACTTGCTTGTGTTGTTTCTTCACATACTTCCTTCTAAAAGGAGATCACCAGTCATGGAGCACACAGCCTCTCTTAACAAAAAAAAACAAAAAAACGTGACCCATAGACCTTGAGAAACATGCAAAATCATATTACCTTGCCTCGTCTTTCTAACGGCAAATGACTGTGACCTTGTAGTGGACATTTAAATATTAATTTGAATATTTTAGAGAAGGAATGCATTGAAACAAAATATGTTTGCAGATAAGGAAGAATGATAACGGCTGCACAAATTACTTTTGTTGCTGACGAGGACATAATCCTCCAAGTGGAGTCTTCCCTCAGAGAAGCCAGTAATTGTTTTCTTCAATTTTCTTGATGTGTCCATTGTTAAAACATAGTGTTGGTTAAAAAAAAAATACAATTAGCAATTATGTTTATTTTACAAAAAAACTAAATGGATCCAGTGAATAAGTCATTTCAAATCACTATTTGTGGAAAGATGACCATTAGTAAAATCCACACTTAGTATTTGCAGTTTTGATGACTCCAAGCCGCTCTGTGGGAATGCAACAACACTTGCATTAAAAGAAGAGGATAGAAGCTAACCTGGTGAGGTAGAGTTCTTGTAGGCCCTTTTGCTCATCCATCTTGTGGAAACATGCCCCATTTCACACTGCACTTGGTTTTCTTGGAGTTCGTCACGCGTCAACTTGTATCTCCATACCGTAGTTTAAGGTTGTCATTGCTTCATTGTACAGGATTAGGAAATGTTCCATTGAACATTGCGGTGATCAGCAGTTTGCTAGTAGGCGCGGCTTTGTCGAATGTCTGGATATCACTTTTTCAACAAGAAATATAGTTGCCTTAAAAGGTCAAAAAGGTCAAATTAGTAGTGGATTCCTATAGTAGTAGCTCATGAGCCGCATTATAGCTGTCACTGTTTCATCGACATAAAAAGGGGCTCTTAATAATGTCCCATTTCATCTCAGCGGAAGCCGCCACATTAAGTCTGATGTTTGTTTTTATCATGCTCATCTTATAAACCCACTCCTTTTTTACAAAAGGGAATCCCAGCATATATCCCATTTTAATGACTGTCTTCCGCAATAATTCACAATGAAACCACAGCAGAGAGAAAAAAAAGTGTCTAAATGTAAATGCTAGTAAATGTCAAAAGTTTTGACGGGCTCAGACAATCTTGGCAAACAAAGATTAAAAAAAGACAACTTACAAAACATCGGGGACCAACACTCTATGGTAAACTATACTGGATATAAATATTATAAATCATATCACATTGACATTTGATGGATGTTGTTCCCTTCGAAATAATCAACTAAATCTCTGAAACCTGAGGACTAACATGAAGGTGAGATGGTGTCTGAGTGGATGGAAAAGGATGTTACCAAACTACTACAACATTTCTAAGACATTAAAGTGGGCATGTTATAGAAATGTCACTTTTTAATGGTTTATATACGAAGAGTTCACGTGTTTCTGGAGGAACACCTTCATATTTACTTGCTTGTTATCGGTGTATTAAGCTGT